AAAAAGTAGATCATAACCATATTTATGATAATTTTCCAGGCAAATTTGCCTGGAAAAGCCTACAGTTTAAGGGATAGGGTAATTCAATGAAACATACAAAATCACTCAATTAAATTACTATAAATAATGTGATATTAAACCCTTACTTTTCTTATCTATCGAACGAACTTAAGAATATATACTAAGAAAGTTTTTTTTATATTATTTCTTTATATTTTTATACTACCAGATATTCACTTTATATATTCATTTCTTAGGGAAAAATTTGATTCATAACTTCAGCAATTTGATTCCTATCGAATCAGATCTGTCAGGTATCCATGTCAGGATAACCAACTTTAGCAATTTGATAACAAATCAAATTTGTCTCATATCTGTAAAAGATACCAAATCCGGTAATTTGATTTCTTTTGAGGTCAAATCTGTCTATTATCTGTAAGAGATATCATAGCTACGCTAATGATTTTATTTCAAAGTGGTTGCACAAATTAAATATATATTTAAGGCAATACAAGTATTCTGAGTAGCCAACAAAAAAAATGTCTTCGCGAATTTTACGAAGTAATATAGATAAAAGAAAATATAAAGTGATGATTATAATGTAACAAACAACCCACCGACACAAAAAAAAAATAAAAAGAACAAAGATGATGATAGTGAAGATACTGTAACAAGTACCTCCTCAACCCCCAAATGATCAGTGAATAGAAAATCTAGAAAAGAAAAGTAACAAAGAAGAATAACCAAGTCCTTCATAATCAATCAAATTGATAATTTTATAAAAGATATCAGTAACCAAAAATGCAAAGCTTCTAATGAAAACGAATATATCTATAATCATGAAATTGAATTGTTTGAAGATTTGAAGAAAATTTTCGAACTTACTAATGAGGATAATTTTCGGTCTTTGAATTTTATCGTAATTTTCAAGATAAAAGAAAAGAAAGTATTAAGGAAATTAAAAGGTATTTTATATTATATATATGTTTTAATATATTTATTGTTAACTTTTTAATCAAAAGATTATGTGAAGAAAACTAGCGACTTAAGGAAGAAATTGATAAATTCAATAAAGAGATTATGATATTGAATAATCAATACTTAAATGAAGTGGCTGAAAATGAAAAAATAAGATCATGAATCGAAGAGCTGGCCAAAGAGATTACAAAAATGGATTTAGACAAAAGAGATTTGCAAAATAAATTTGATAGATCAAAGACCAAGACATTTTTTTTAATATTTAAATATTATTTATTATAAAATATACTATTAATAAAATTTTTCTAATGTAGACCAAAAGATTAGAAGAAGAACTTAGGATATCAAGAGAAACTAGTAAAGCATTAAGCACTGAAAGAAGTGAAATTGCAAAAAAAGTAATTTTTAATATTCTGAAAAAAAAAATACCATATTATAATAGATTCTTATTATTGGCATATTTTATATAGATTAATGATTTGTTACATAAAAAAGACTTTGCTGAAAATAGAATTAGAGAACTCGAAGAACAACATAAAGAAGATCTTAATTCAAGAGATTTTACAGAATTCAAACTCAAGAATCAGATCGTTGTATTAAAACAGAAGGCTATGGATTTAGAAACTAGTTTAAGAAACATAAGTGAAAGAAGATTGAATCAATCAAATATATGCAAATTTACTCTTACATTTTTTAAACAACTTTGTACTAACTTTTTCATTTATAATATATTTATTGCATGAATAAGCAAGTTCAAATAGGTCAAATAATGAACCTTCTGAACATGTTGAAAGCAATAGCAGTTCAGGTAATATATATTTGTTTTGAATTGAAATATTAGTTTAAATTAATAAATGTATCGAATGAATAATAGAGGATCGTTTAAGAGATTGAGATACAAGAAATCTATTAGGTATAAATTAATTTCATATATTTATATTTTAATTTTTTGACCAATTAATTTTTTTTTTTTTTGCTTATATTTATTTATGAGATGATACTAATGTTAATATATATGAAATTGTTAATTAAAGATTGTTTTATTATTAATAAAGAATAATAGAAATTCCTAAAATACCAAAAGAAGTTTGTCTCGAACATAATGTATAGTTGCAAATTTATGACAAAAAATTATTGATTTAAAAAAAATATAATGATCACATGAATGCATCTGGCTTTAGATAATCTTTAATTTCATTTTTGCTAGTATCGGTATCATGAAGATATAAGATTTATAAAAATAGAAAAATCTCATTTTTAATTGAATGGATCTCAGAACTCTATTTTTCTAGCAAACCTCCTATATATGAATATCACAATTTTATATAAAGCCACATAATTTATATAATTCGCATCTATCACATAATTGACCTTGATCCTATCGCATAATTTACTCTATCGCATCGTAATCTTTTGATAGTAAATTTGTAAATGTAATTCATTAATCTAGTAAATATAGAATTAATTCATGTAATTTTCATATCTATTAAACCATGACTCAGTTATTGAGTTCTACCTAAATTAAGCTTTAATTTTGCCCAAATTCATGAAACTACCTTTTATATATAAGTTTCAATTTGTTCTCCGACAGCACTAGAGGCCGTCAGAAAATAAACTGAGTTTGAATAATAAAATTTAATTATCAACAATATCGATATTGAATTATATTACATAACAAATAAAAATATATCAAAAAAGAATTTCTTTATAGTACTGTATAATGCACGCTTCGTTTTTATGTTTTCAAAAGATATTGTATACAAAAAAGAATTTGTAATATTTTAGAAATAGATTGATAGTATTACTAATAAATCTAAGCTTGATTAAAAATCCAATATACGAATAAATTATTACATGTTAAAAAATAAATAAAATAATTCTATCTTATTTTTAGTTATCATGACCTTTATTAAAGACACGACATAACCCCTTAACCCAAAGTTATATT